ATAATTTATCTATGGGTTGGGCACAGTAACTAGCACTTACAGTCCCAGTGCTTTGGAATATTAAGGCAAGTGGACCATTTGAGCCCAAAGTTTGAGACCAGCCTGGGCAAAATGTGAGACCCTGATTCTACAAAAATATCAGAAAATTTTTGTGACCATAGCACACAGCTATGGTCCCAGCTACCTGAGAGGCTGAGGTGGGAGGATAGTTTAAGCCCAGGAATTCAAGGCTGCCATGAGCCATGATCCTACCTCTACACTGTAGTCTGGGTGGCAGAGCAGGACTCTGTCTCAAAAAAAAAATCAACAAATTTATGGATTGTTTGAGATTTTCTGGTTATATAACCATGCCACCTATGAATAATGAAAATAATATTTTATTTTTCTTTTGTATTTTATTTTTCCTATGTTTATTCACACTGGCAAGATCTCTAGTGTAATGATGAGTAGAATTACCTTAATGGTCTGTTGTATGTGAATTAGTGATAGTTCTCTGCCCGATGACAATTAGACATTCAATAACTGATTATTTTAAATAATAAGTTGTAGTATAATCTTAAATGCATAGCATATGTCCACTTATAGCTTCCTATTTATATATCTAAGAGGTATGAATTGTTAAATAACTTTTGAGTTATAAAATATGTCATATTTACTTTTTACTTTTGTTTCTAAATAAAACCCTGGTGACCTCACTAAAATCATTGACAATTTTAGTATCACTCACTGGGGCTTCTTCTCTATCCTCACGGCTTACAGTGAGAACTTTTAACAGCCCTATTTTATAATTGAAGCTCAACTGACAAAACTGAGGCTCAGATAAATTTGAAAATGTCTGTACTGCCACAGATATGAGTAGCAGAGCTCAAGTCAAACCCTGGCAGTCAACTCTTGTCTTCCCTTTTCAATATAATTTTTTAATCTCCCACATTATTTCTAAATATAGCATCTATACATTCACATAAAAGTATTATGTAAGCCTGTTAGCAAGTATTTCTTTAGTGGTTTTAAGTCTATATTTTCTTTTGGCTTTCATGAGAAGTTCTTAACCAAACTCTGCACCATCATATGGTGAGATGAGAGCTGCCAGCTGTTTGAGAGTCAAGCAGAATTTTTCTATAATGGTATTTATCTGAATCCTACTTCTTAGATCCTTTACCTGCCTTTGTCATATTCATGGACGGTTATTTTCTTACCACCTTCACTTTCTTCTTTCTAGTCCTCATCTTCCCACCCAACAAAATCCCTCCCCACCCACAGCCCTGACCTTATCCATGTGTACTGGTTATAATTTTCGTAATTGGCCTGACAAGGAATGACATTTGGCTTTACTTTAGAGTAAAATGTCACCAGAAACCAGGGCTGGTGCTGCACTATGTTGATAATGATAACCCCTGGATGATACAGTCACTAAAAAGAGCATTCATTATTTTAATTATTTTATAAGAATTTTGATGAACATCCATCCCTTCTTCTTGCTAGTATATTGTAATTACATACAATATAACAATTCTGGAGTCTAGCATTATAAGAACGATATGCAAATTAAATTAGTTCATTTTAAAAATAATTTCTTTATATATGAGGTAAAAGGAAGAATCATAATAAGATCCTAACAAAAATAACTTTTGCAACTGAAGTGGATTTGATTTCAATTGTGATATACCTCATTTAGAATTCTCATCCTACCAAGAGCCTTTCCCATCATCTGATGGAATGGCTGATTGTAGATACTGACCCTAGGTTACAGAGAAAAGAGAATTACTGATTGCCACCAGCACATTGACCAGTTTGTTTTAAATTGTTGTAAATTACAATAATATAACTGACCTGGTAAAGTCTGAAATACCGTAAAAGATACATAGACAGGGTCTAGGAGAAGACTGTAGATGCTTACTTAGCCAATTAAATGGCAATATCTTAGTGGTGATTCTCAATGCCCTTTGTGAAATTGTCCTTATTCCTTTCCATAGCATGGGTTCCCTATGCAGTGTCTGCTGACACACTATGCCTTGCATATAACCAGGTTTCATGTTGCTTTCGAGAGCCCTATTGGCCTTAAGAGTCTATTGCAATGCTTTAGTCTTGGACACACAAGATCAATGCACTTATAAGTATGATTTAATAAGCTACTGTGGCAAACCCAAAGCAGAATTTACTGCCTCTCTCCCTTTAACTTATCCCTTTTGAATGTGTTTGAATGAGTTTCAGGCTTTTCCATGAAGTTGACACAATACCTACATAGTTTTGTTATGCTCCATAAAGTATATGTGTGAGCCCATTATGTGTTGAGAATGATCTATCATTAATAGTTTAGCCTGAAACTCAATGTTCATAGATTTCCAGTTAGTTAAACAAAAAAACTGCTAGTTATTAAAATGTGCAACTTTTATCAGCTATTATTATATATAATTTTATTTATCAAAGTTAATTTAAAACTAAATGTATACCTATTACATAAATAATTTACAGATAGTAACTTAATTCTGAAAGTGCAGAGTATTCAGTCAGCTACAGTATTCCAAGGTCTGGTTCATTATTACTAGAAATTTTTAAATTTCCCAGTTCAAAAAGAATAAAAACATTTTCTGATCTTTGACTTGTGGATGAATACTAAGAAAATTGCATTTGAGAATGCTATAATTTCCAGGATGCAGCTCTTAGTTGCTGGTATGAGTATGAGGAGAAGTATAAAGATAACACAATATCAAAATACGATTGGCCTGCTAGAAATAAAAGGTAACCACTTTTTTTTTTTTTTTTTTGAGACAGAGTCTTGCTCTGTCACCCAGGCTGGAGTGCAGTGGCACAATCTCGGCTCCCTGCAACCTCCAACTCCTGAGGTCAAATGATTCTCCTGCCTCAGCCTCCCGAGTAGTTAGGACTACAGGCGTGTGCCACCACACCAGCTAATTTTTTGTATTTTTAGTAGAGAAGGGGTTTCACCGCGTTAGCCTGGATGGTCTCGATCTTCTGACCTTGTGATCTGCCCATATGGGCCTCTCAAACTGCTGGGATTACTGGCAGGAGCCATTGCACCTGGCCTTATATTTTTTAATTAAAGAATTTCCTAAGCAATCACCAGTCATCTTTTAGGAGCTGAAATGTTTCTAGAATTAAAAACACATTTTTGACATTTAAGACATTTTTTACTCTTAATCAAACAGCATTTGTGTTTCACAAGATTATTATGTTCTTTATCATAAGGTTTGATATAAATTATATTATGTTTAATGTATTATGCTAGGCACTTTTACATACATTACATTTTTCATCACAAGGATCTTTCCTATACATATTCTTTTATTCCTATTTTGCAGATGAGAAAACTGTGCCTCAGAGACTTTGTTTTCCCAAAGATAACCATATTTTAAATTTTTAGTCTAATGAGCTTTTAACCATATTATATTTGGATATTAAAGTAAATAACTGGTAAACAAATAAGCATTTAAGTGCCTACTGGGTGACAATGTCGAGTGAAAAAATAAAAAGATAAAATTATATTCTAGCTGAAAACATAATTAATCTAAAGCAGTGGCATTGCAAATTGAATGATTTAAAAAACTGGGAATACATTACACTGGTTTAGTTCAGATACTTATAATGAAATTTTCCATGTTAATTGATTGGCCAATATTACTTTTATTTTTCTATACTACTTTAGGTCATGAAACTGCTAAATAATAATCAGTAATGTGGCCCTATTGATGGCCTCAGAGTTTTCCTTTCCACTCTATGTGATGCTTACTAGTTTTTTGTTAGTAAATGAGGTATGTATGTGTGCAATGTCGTAGAATGTTTTGATAGCATTTTTTCTTACAAAATATATCCTCCAGTAAGTAATTAGCTTTCTAAAATAAATACATGTACCATAAGAAATATAGGAATTTCTCATGTTTTTGTTTTATGTGTATTAAGTCTTCAGGAAGACGTAGCAAAAATGCAAAGTTGGAGTACCTAATTCATTTGTTGTTGTTGCTGTTGTTGTTTTTGAGAGGGAGTCTCACTCTTGTTGCCCAGGATGGAGTGGAATCGTGTGATTTTGGCTCTCGGAAACCTCTGCCTACCAGGCTTAAGTAATTCTCCTGTCTCAGCCTCCCAAGTAGCTGGGATTACAGGCATGTACCACATCTGGCTAATTTTTTTTTTAATTTTAAATTTTAAAGTAGAGTTGGGTTGCACCATGTTGGCTAGGCTAGTCTCAAACTCCTGACCTCAGATGATCCACCCATCTCGGACTCCCAAAGTGCTGGGGATTACAGATGTGAGCCATCATGCCCAGCCCCTTAATTCATTTTATATCCTGAATTATTGAGTTAGAGAAGCTAGAAGGACATCTGGAGTTCCCATTTTAAATTCTTCTATAAGCCCAGAGCCCACTGCAAACTCTAAGCCACCAACCTTCATGAATATCTTCCTCCCTTATCCTTATTGATATTTTAAAATCAAAAGCACCTTCCCAAGCTAAGGTACCCAGTCAAAAATTCGCCTCTTCCCAAAATTAATTTTTAAAGACTCAGTTCTTTTTAGATCATCTCCACATGAAATGCGTTTTTTTCTTTTTAGCAAAATATTCAATGTAGAGAATAAAGGGAAATATTACCCACCTACCTTCTCTATTCGTGGATATTTTTATTTTGTATCTAGTATTCAGATATAATCTTACTTTTATTAATATTAATCTACACAATTAAGCAGTTCTTGGCTTTCGAATAAGACAAACTAATGTTTTACATTCTACTCTACCACTTGTTATCCCTAAATTCTTTAAGACGTGGCTCTATCTCTCTGAACCACAGTTGTCTTGTTAATAAGGATATTAGTGTTGCCACATAGAGGGTCAGAAAACTGAATATTCAAGGCACACTTAAATTATTTTTCTTATAAGCATCAGTAGTTGCTTGTTGTTGATAATAATTTTGCACATGTGAATGACTTACATTTATTTTTCTTCTCTAAGCAAAAATGATACAATGAAAATATAAGAAATTGAAAATAATAACTTTATAGTATATACAAATAGAAGTGACATTGACAATTTTATGAAAAAGTGATTTTTATTGTCACAGTAATTTTTAGCTTTTCAAAGGAAAATAAGATGTCAGACAATTTACAGAATTAATCTGAATGTAAACAATGTTCACAGACCATCTAAACATCCATAATTATACTGACTGTGTGTTATAAGCAAGAATCACCTGAATGTAGATTTTATGATGAAAAACAAAATCATAGTTTCTGATACAGGAAGCTCTTGGTTTGTCTGCATCAAGCACTTAAATTCATTTGTTACACCACTTACCACCAATAGAGTTAAAATACTGGAAAAGCCCAGAAATGGCAGAAGACCTTGACAGGTTTTTAGAAAGCCCATTATATTTCAGTGAGAATTCTGTTTCTCAGGGAAACTACTTATTGCAACTGTCTGAGACTAATTCATTCTTCATCTCTGTGTGGAGCTGTATTGTGCAGCAAAAAGTGGCTCATGCAAAAGTAAATGAAAAGCTTAAAAGAATTTGCATGGGCCGTCTCTAAAGAACTGAAAAGGTGATGGACAGAATTAAAAACTAGAATTTTCTCCGAGCTTTTTAACCATTGAGAGAAATGCCTAAAAGTAGGACATTTTATATCACTTGTCCTGCCCCGTGCAAGGGGCAAACGCTGTACTTTCTTGTTCAAACAGCTGTGACGTCCCCAAACACCATTTCCTTACCGGCTGTCAACTGCTGGATTGATTCACTGGGACCCAGCCAGTGGGGTATTCTCTTACCACAGTCCACCACTGGAAACCACTACAGATGGAAAACCCTCAAGAACTGCAACCTCTCCTCCAGGATCCACTCAATGCCGGCATCTGGAGTGAGCAAGAGGTTTGTCCCTGCCAAGTCAACCATAAAACACATGGTGATGCTGCTGCCCAAGGGGAGAGGGGTTGCTGCTGCCATGCCTCTCTCTGAGCGGCCGTGGAGTATGCACACCCTACTCCACCCCTTTCTATGCCTAGGTTCAGCCGTAGTTGCTGGGCAAGGGTGTGGAGGGTAAGACCAGGTGTGAGAAGGGATGAGCGAGACAACTGCTGAAAACCCATCCAGGGTATATATAAGGAAGTGTACCATGGCACCAAAGTGTTCACACAAGCTTCTCTTACAAACTTAAATGCAATGATAAAGTTATTAAGAGTTTCCAGACAGCAACCACAGAGCATTAAACTCCAAATATCGGTGGGAGTAGAGTTCTTCTGAGATGGAGTCCTGTGCAGCTGACCTGGGTACATACCCTTGGAGCCAGCCATGACCTTAAGGGTCCATTTGCATCAGCAAATAATTAACGGGTTATGTTATGGGTTGGACTGATACACTGAAGTTCACACACCCAGTACTTGTGAATGTAACCTTTGGAAATAGGGTCTTTGCAGCTGTAATACAGTTAAGAGGAGGTTATTAAAGTGGGTCCTCATCTAATTATAAGGACTGGTTTTTTTATAAGAAGACAGACAGAGACACACAGGGCAAATTCTATGTGATGACGGAAGCAGAGATTGACAAGATACAAGCCAAGGAGTACGAAGGATTGCCAGCAACAGCAGCAGCCAAGAAAAAGGCATGGGATCAATTACCCCTAAAGACTTCAAAAAGAGCACAGCCCTGAGGATGCCTTGAGTTTGAACAGAGACAATCACAAGTCTCTGTTCTTTTAAGCCACCCAGTGTTTTGGTAATTTGTTACTGCAGCCGTAGGAAAACTAGTACAAGTAATATTTTCTCTGTCATTCAAATAATCATGTATTTTTGGTTTTCATTCATATTAACCTTTCTTTGAGTTAATCCTTAAAGGCAAGTTTGAAGTTTTAAGTAGATACTTCATGTATAAACTTCATTATTTATAGTCACTTTTGTGAGTTTTAGGTGGTGGGCTTACATTCAGAAACATAAGGAAATGACCAATATATGCAGTATATCTCTGTGGCTTTGTTTCTGTGGTTTGGCATTTTATTTACACCACAAGTAGCAGAGTGGTTAATTGCACTAGATAAGTGGAACTCTTTTATAAAAGACAGACTTAAATTATGGACTACACAAAAAGAAAAGGGGGAGAGATTCTATAATACTCTTATTCAAATCAAAAAGAAAAAACAGCCTTGAAAGCAAGAGTGAATGAAAAAACTGAAATGAATTGAATATTTTCGTTTTTAAAAATTACATCTTTGAGAAAAATGTTAAAGTATTAAGTTGGTTAGATGTCTTTTTCTTTTTTTTCTTTTTTGAGATGGAGTCTTGCTCCATTGCCTAGGCTGAAGTGCAGTGAAAATTACATCTCTGAGGAAATCTTTAAAGTATTAAGTTGGTTAGATGTCTTTTATTTATTTACTTATTTATTTTTGAGATGGAGTCTCGCTCCATGGCCCAGGCTGAAGTGCACTAGTGCGATCTTGGCTCACTGCAACTTCTGCCTCCCAGGTTCAATCAATTCTCTGCCTCTGCCTCCGAAGTTAGCTGAGATGACAGGTGCCTGCACCACACCCAGCTAAGATGTCTTTATTTTAAAGAATGAATTAAGTCTCAGAGTTTAAGCAGAAGGCCCAAGTCACAGACTAAACTATAAGTTGTGTCATCAGGTGCCTGATTAAAGCTTTTCTATTTCCTCATGGAAATGATGTTATAGGAAAAGTTCTAAGATCCCAAGAGATTATATTTAATGTGACTTCATGGAGATGTTCAAAATGGAATAATGTAAAATATTATTTTCTATCACACTGAGAATCACCTGAGATTCATTCTACTTTTGTTTTGTAGATTCAAAATATGGTGATTGTACAGGGATCTTCATCTTAATTTGGGTTCTTCCAGAAACAGATCCTGAGACAAAAATTCAAATGTAATTAGTCTAGATGGAAGGTATAGGAAATACCAGCAGGGCTGTGGAAGAAGGATTCCAAGGAGGCAGGCTACAAATAAAGGGTATGCTCTGAAGCCAGCTCCCACAAGGGAGTGGTTGAAATGTTTCCTGCAAGGAACTGCAAAAACGGAGCTCAGAGTTCTCTTCACCCAACGAGTGAAAGCTGGGATTGTTAAACACCAGCTCCCACCAAGTATTACTGGAAGCTGCTGGGGGAGAAGTGTTCATGTCTCAGCACTTCAGGTCTGTCCTGCTTATAGAAGAGTGGCTTTCTACATTGCTAGAAAATCCCTTACACACAGTCATGCAGATACTCACAGTTGAAAGTCCATAAAAGCAATCATAATTTTAAGATTCCAGGAATGTCTGTTGGCACTGTCAGAATCTGCCTCATCTTAAAATTTCATTTTCTGTGAAAGCAGCAAATCTAAAATGCAACTAAAAACATGCTACTGAAAGGAATTGAGTCTATTGAGAATAAGCAATACATATTTTTTTCTGTAATGAATAAATGGACTTCAATTTTACTTAAATGACAGATTTGAAGATTTACAAACCTGAAAAATAATTGTAGAAATTCAGTCTAATACTTACACTTAATAGATAAAGCAATATAGATTGATAAAAGTGAAGTGATTTTTATAAGATCATCTGTATAGTCAGTGGGATTCATGGGTTTAAAGTTTTAGAAGACAACAGCTAAAGAGGACATTCAAGAGATGGTGCAGTCTTGCGTCAGGGAGTCTGCTCGACTTGCAGGACCCCTTTGGGTTCACTACGCCCCTCAGGGCCGGCCACCTTTCCCTCCTTAGAGTTAGCAAGGCGCCCTTAGTGCCGCGGTGACAGCACAACCTCCAACTCCGGAGAACAACAGCTCCTCCATACATCCCCAGAGACGTCAAGGAGGAGCAAACCCAGCGGCCAGGAGGCTACTACGCCTTACGACAGAAGAGAGGGAGGGCATCTGTTTCTAAGTTCTCAAAACTTACAGGATTCAAGATGACCAACGAAGAACCTCTTCCCAAAAAGATTCGAAGGAGTGAAACAGACTTCAAAGTTATGGCAAGAGATGAGTTAATTCTAAGATGGAAACAATATGAAGCATATGTACAAGCTGTGAAAGGCAGGTACACAGATCTTAACTCTAATGATGTAACTGGCCTAAGAGAGTCGAAGCAAAACTAAAGCAACAACAGCAGGAGTCTGCACGCAGGGAAAACATCCTTGTAATGTGACTAGCAACCAAGGAACAAGAGATGCAAGAGTGCACTACTCAAATCCAGTACCTCAAGCAAGTCCAGCAGCCGAGCGTTGCCCAACTGAGATCAACAATGGTAGACCCAGTGATCAACTTGTTTTTCCTAAAAATGAAAGGTGAACTGGAACAGACTAAAGACAAACTGGAACAAGCCCAAAATGAACTGAGTGCCTGGAAGTTTACGTCTAATAGGTAAACAAATCATACTCCCCAGTCAAGACTTCCCTGACAGTCCCACTATGAGAAAGCTGTGATGGGACAGCCAAGTACTCGTTTCCACACCAAGACTCAGATTTTTGAGCCAAAAAAAAAAAAAAGCCACATTCTTACACTGTCCAGCTTGTAATGGTTAATGTAAAACTTACCAGATGAACCTTGTGTTTCAGCTTTTTCTCTTCCCCTTCCCCTTGCTTCAGAGGCCTGATGGCATCGGACTATTCCGAAGAAGTGGCCACCTCTGAAAAATTCCCCTTCTAGAACATGTAAACACTTGAGAAATGTTTTTGTTTGAAGAAAATAGAGGGAGGAACAGAAGTCTTAAGTCTGTGGCACACTGTATCTTCAGACAGTTTGAAGGAATGAAAACCTAGAGATTTTAAGTCATGAATTGAACATGTAAAATTCCAGTAAAATGTAAAAATGGAATATGCATCGCTCTTAACCTTGAGCACCGTGACTTAGAGCCACTATATATCAGTTTTGCCAATAAGACTGTGGACTTCGTGATTGTTGTTGAACTTCTGGGTCAAAACTCAAATGAGGTGAATTTTGCCTTTAAAGGGTTTATTTGCTGAGAACCAATTTTTAATAGTTATGAGAGAATCAATAGATGTCCGTACAAGTAGCGCATATATTTAACCATTTAGTTTGGGGCTCTATAGTACTTGCTTGAGCCTTAAATCAACGTGGTTTTATTCAATGGTTTGTTCTTTGAATGGTTGCAAAAACTGTAGATAATCTTACTGAGGACTGTACAAACATGAAGGTGTGGTATTAAACTTCAGGTTTAAACTGTTTGAAGCATTATAAACATTCATTTCACAACTAGATTGTATAAGGATATTAGCTGTGATGAGACTCACTGCATTATTTTTTAGTGAATTTTATGAAATCCCCATTCCATTTAACAGGTACATGTTTAAAAGAGCATCGTCATTGGTGTTAATGGGGGAATGTGTTCCTTCATTGTATTTGGGCCTTTTGTATTGCACTCTTGATATTAAATTAAATGTGCCTTGAAAAAAAAAGAGGACATTCAAGGCCAATTTATATCTGAAAAACAACTTTCGTGTTTAGACAAACATTTTAATAAATTAATCAGTTCATTTCTGTTTCCTACATTAAAACATTTTTCACTCTAAGGAAGGTTAATAGACCTGAAACAATAGTATGAAATACAAAGCCATATCATGAGGAATATATGGTCTCATACTTATAGATTTATGTCTTCATAAATACAATAATAGATGCATTATGATGAAGAATTATCTTTGAATTAGTAATAGAGAAACAGTTAATTCATTCCAGTGATTCTGACAGTCAGAATTTGTCTTTGGAACTAGCCACGATTTCTGCAACAAATAAATAAATAAATTCATTGCTTCAGAGTCACACCATGTTTTTCACTGAGAAATTGCATTAGCCAGGTTGAACATCTATTTTCCAGCAACTAAACAATAAATTACTTTTACTTGTGGCCAAAATTCCAATCTGTTTCAGTCATTCATTCATTCATTGTCATTCATCACTGACAATATTTAAAAGAATATGCCTTCGAACAATAACCACATCACTATGTTTAACATACAGTTGCTGAAGTAACTATTTTAGAGAAGATAACACACAATAAGATATGTACATCTCAGTACATTCATTTTTAAATGTGTCACTGTATAGTAATAGATTATAGTAGACCATAATAGATAGGTTTAGGAAAGGAGTAGCTCAAGAAGAAATTCACAGAATGTTCTTGGAAAGTTTCAACATCCATGGAATATTCAGGGAAGGCTTTATGGACAGGTGACTTTCAGGTTGGGCCCTACAAGAATAATAGGTTTTGGTTACATATATTTTGGTATACTACTGATATGATTTGACTGTGTCCCCACCCAAATTTCATTTTGAACTATAGTTCCCATAATCCCCTAGTATCATGGGAGGGACCCGGTGGATGGTAACTGAATCATGGTGGTGGTTACCTTCATGCTCTTCTCATAATAGTGAGTTTTCACAAGATTTCATGATTTTATAAGGAGTTTCTCTCCCTTCACTCTGCACTTCTCTCTTGCCTTTTCCCATGTAAGATAATGCTTTGCTCCTCCTTACCTTCTGCCATGACTGTGATGCCTCCACAGCCATGTGGATCTGAGTCCATTAAAACTCTTTTTCATTATAAATTTCCCAGTCTCAGGTATATTCTAATGGCAGCATGAGAACAAACTAATACAGTAAATTGGTACCAGGTAGTGGTGCACTGCTGTAAAGATACCCAAAAATGTGGAATCAGCTTTAGAATTGGGTAACAACTGGAGGATGAAACTATTTGGAGGGCTCAGAGGACAGAAAGATGTGGGAAAGTTTGGAACTCCCTAGAGACTTGTTGAATGGCTTTGACCAAAATGCTGATAGTGATATAAACAATAAAGTCTGGGCTGAGATGGTGTCAGATGGAGATAAGGAATGTTTTGAGAACTGGAATAAGGGTGATTCTTGCTATGTTTTAGCAAAGAGACTGGCAGCATTTTGGTCCTGCCCTAGAGATCTGTGGAACTTTGAACTTGAAAGAGATGATTTACGGTATCTGGCAGAAATTTCTAAGGAGCAAAGCATTCAAGAGGTAACTTGGATGCTCTTAAGCATTCACTTTTATTCATCACTGACAATATATAAAAGAATATGGCTTTGAACAATAACCACATCATTATGTTAAACATACAGCTGCTGACTTAACAATTTTAGAGAAGATATGGTTTGGAATTGGAACTTATATTTAAAAGGGAAGCAAAACATAAAAGTTTGGAAAATTTGCAGCAGATAATGTGATAGAAAATGAAAGCTCATTTTCTGGGGCTAAATTCAAGCCAGCAGCAGATATTTTCATAACTAATGAGAAGCCAAATGCTAATTACCAAGACAATGGGTAAAATGTCTCCAGAGCATGTCAAAGACCTTCATGGCAGCCTTTCCCATCACAGCCCTAGGAGTTAAAAATGGTTTCCTGGGTGGGGTGCAGAAACCCCCTGCTGTGTGCAGCCTCAACATCCCAGCAGCTCTAGCCATGGCTAAAAGCGGCCAACATACAACTCAGACCATGGCTTCAGAGAGTGCAAGCCCCAAGTCTTAGCTGTTTCCACATGGTATTGAGCCTCCAGGTACACAGAAGTCAAGAATTGAGATTTGGGAATCTTCACCTAGATTTCAGAGGATAGATGAAAATGCCTAGATGTAAAGGCAAAAGTTTGCTCCAGAGGCAGAACTCTCATGGAGAACCTCTGCTAGAGCAGTGTGGAAGGGAAATGTGGAGTTGGACCTCCAAACAGAATCCCCACAGAAGCATCACCTAGTGGAGCTATGAGAAGAAGACCACCATCCTCCAGACCCTAGAATGGTAGATCCACCGACAACTTGCATCAGGGAAAACCACAGACACTCAACACTAGCCTATGAAAACAGTAGAGTGGGGAGCTGTATCCCACAAAGTGATGGGTAAGAGCTGCCCACGGCCTTGGAAGACCACCTCTCACATCAGCATGACCTGGATGTGAGGCAGGGAGTCAAAAGAGATCATTTGGAATTTTAAGTTTTAATGACTACCCTATTGGATTTCAGACTTGCATGGGGCCTGTAGCCTCTTTGTTTTGGCCAGTTTCTCCCATTTGCAATGGGTGCATTTACCCAATGCTTGTACCCCCATTGTAACTGGGAAGTAACTAATTTGCATTTGATTTTACAGGCTCATAGGTGGGAGGAACTTGCCTATTCTCAAATGAAACTTTGTACTTGGACTTCTGAGTTAATGCTGGAATAAGTTGAGACTTTGGGGGGTTGTTGGGAAGGCAAGATTGTGTTTTGAAATGCGGGACATGAGATTTAGGAGGGTCCAGAGGTGGAATGATACAGTTTGGTTGTGTCCTTACCCAAATGTCATCTTGAATTATAGTTCCCATAATCTTACATGTTGTGGGAGGGAACTGGTGGGAGGTTATTGAATCATGGGAGTGGTAACTGTCATGCTGTTCTCACAATAGTGAGTGTGTTCTCACAAGATCTGATGGTTTTATAAGGGGTTTCTGTCTTGGATTTGCCCTTCTCTCTTGCCTGCCACCAGGTAAGATGTGCCTTTGCTCCTTCTTCACCTTCCTCCATGATTATGAGGCCTCCCCAGCTCTCCCATGTGGAGCTGTGAGTTCTTTAAACCTCTTTTTCTTTATAAATTACCTAGTCTTGGTTAAGCCCTTATAGCAGCGTGAAAAAAGACTAATACAACTAGTGATATATTGTATGTTTGTCTAAAGTTGTTTTGCTATTGATCTTATTATATAAGATTTGAGATTTGTAGTAAATCCCACACATAGAAGAGTTCTAAAAAAAAAGAAGGAAAGAATAAAACCAGTCTGAATATATTGAGGGTGTTGCAGCCTAGAGAATAATGGAAATCAAAGTATATAAATCTAGTGAAACGAAGATAACAGAAGATTTTGACAACTACTCAGAAATAATCAGGCATAAGCAATAAAGTGCCATTGAACACATTAGAGAATATTGTACAGAATACCTCAGCCAAACAGTTGGTTAGGAAATGCTCTATGAACTAATTTAGAGAGAATAGTCACCTCCCCAAGACTGTTGTGTGTAATGCAGATTATTAAGTACCGAGATCAAGGTTGTAGCAATAAAGATGAGAGGAGAAAAAAATATGAAAGACCATATATTTTCAAGGAGAAATGATTAAGATTTCATCATTGGCTGTATATAGAGAGACATCAGAGAAGAGGTAAAATAAACCTCAAGATTTCACACCATAATGAGAAGAGGCCACTTTCCCTGATGGAGAACAGTATGAAGTAATGAATGATGGATGAGAGACAACATCTCATTAATATAATTTAGAAATATCAGTGAAAGAATTTAAGGAATAGGTATGTAATACCAATGGTATTTAATGCCATTCTGCTCAATGTTCCAAAAAGATATAGATGAAAAACTTCAAATAGATGAGAGTAAGGTCCAGGACTCAAAGTATAGATAGAAGTATTAAATTTTACTTCGAAGAATGGGAATAAAAATAAAGGCATTCTACAAGCTTGCTGAATTTTGTATGCATGCTCACTTGAGGCATTCTTCCCTTGCCAGTTGAATGCTCCTAGAAGATCATACACCTGTTAAACTCCACCATTTTGCCTTTTAGTGCACAAGCTTGAGCCCACTCCCCCAAATCCTGAGATTATGTCAGGAAGCTGCTGATTACCAGTTTCAGGTTATTTTTTATTGGGAGATTGCCTTTCCCTGGGCTCTGGCTGGGACCAGTTATTATCAGTGAAGCAGCTACATTGTCTAGGGAATACACTCGGGTTTGTTGTCACACCAGGACTCTTTAGGACATGGACACACAGGAGGAGTTTAGGAGCGGAACTTTAATAAGCAGAAGAGAAGAGAAAGAGAAACAGCTTTATAGAGAAATGGGTCTCCAAGTGGACAGGACTGGCTGGCAGCAGATGTGCCAAATTTTTTATTCCAGTTTGCAGAGGTGGTGTCTGATTTATGTAGAGCTCACAGATTGGTTCCATCAGGTATGACATTTATGTAGCACTGGGGAAGGCTGGTGGCCTCACTCTAATCTTATTATGCAAATGGACTTTCCAGTTGATCAGCACCATCTTGTCTGCTTCTTACTCTACAAGTGGCTGGCAGAGAAGGGAACGTGGAGCCACCATCTTGAACATGTCTAGTCCCTAGTTCCTGCCGGCATTCACCCGTGCAAGCTCCCGCTTTCTTGTCTATGTCTTCAACTTGATTTTATGAGCTACTCTTTGTTAGAAAATGATTTGGGGCTGCTTTTCAGTAAAGAGAAAAGCCTTATGGAAGACTCCTATACCCTTATTATCTGCCTAAGTGATTTCTTCTTAACTCCTGTATCATCAGGACCACCTGACTAATACCCCTTGACCACCTGACATTCCTGGTAGGGGAGGGGAGCCCTCTGCTGCCCTGCTTATGCCTGACTAGCTATATACTGTAACATAATCAG